TTTTTTACAGAGGGGTCCATGGGGGAGGGGGGGGGGGGTTGTAACTGTTTCATATAATTTGTAATCGTATCACTATCGCCCAAATTGTAAGAATATTACTACTACTTCATCGTGATGACAATGACGTTGTTGACGTGTCAAAATTTCCCCACCGCTACGCAGCTTGCCCATAAGTAAATTTAAATAGAGGTGCCACATCAGTTGTATTTGTTTCTGTATTGTAATTTTAAAAAAATTAATCACACGATTCAAACTGTATAGATAAAGTAATTATGTGTAAAGTTTTATGTATAAAATTTTCTAATGCAATTATTCGTAAGCAAATACATTATATAGTTGCCTTAAACTTAACACCCCTCTTGCCAAGTGGTACTACCGGTAGAGGATTTTAAAAAATTCCAATGCATCGTAATGGTTATTTTTAGAATGGCAAACTGATGCAGCTGTTAATACGTGTTGTAAACGTAGACACTACTAGACTAGTACAATGATGCTTAATTGCTGCATGAAAAGAAATCTTGTGATTTACATAGATGTGCCGACCAAAAATATTTTTTTAACAAATATCATTGTTTAAAACTTTGAGTTTAAAAAGTTTCCAAAAAGGCGCCACTTTGCTGAAAATGGCCAGAGGGGGAGCGGCCGCTCCCCCTGCTCCCCCCCTGCGTACGCTACTGGGGGGAACTAAGTGGAGTTTACTTTAACGGAGGGGGTGGGGAGGAGACGTTTATCGTCCTTAACGAGCTACTTATAGTGTTTTAAAAAAATATTTTCAGTGGCAGCGTTGGTAGTGTCGAATTCACAAATTATGAATTACTGAAAAGTAGAAAAAAAAAACAACTAAATAGCGGCGTATGATATGCCGCGGGTCGGCTCGTATATATATAATTCTCTTCATGGGGACCATGCAGGACAAGACGTAGACACACGCCGTTAATCCTACGCTCTCTAGGCAAATCGCTACCACCCCCACCCCCTCCAATCTGGCGAGCTTTGGTTCACGACGATTTTAACGAAGGGGAGGTAACAAATTCTGATTGATCTTTTCATTGTCGTCTGTAAACGGCTGCTTTCACTGGGCGGGGGGGGGGGGGGGGGGGGCTGGGGGGGGTGAGGGAGGGCGGGTAGTGTTGAATTCACAAACAAATTATGCATTGCTGATAAGCAGAAAATAAAACGACTAGATCTAGATGCAGTGTTTATTCCAGACTTTTTTCTCCGGGGGGGGGGGGGGAAGGGGGGGTAGACTTTCTCCGGGGAGGGGGGGCTTTGCCCCCCGAAGAGATGCCTGGAAGAAACTCTGTCTAGATGGCGGCGTATGCTACGTCGCGGGTCAGCTCGTTCGCTTTAAAACACCATCAGTAGCTCGCGATATCTAAAAGACGATTTTATGCTCCGTGAAAAGCAGCCGCCCGTGACCACAATTTACAGAGAACAGCTAGCTGATAAAACAAAGGATAGCTCTTAATCGTGCTACCTCCCCTTAGTTTAAAATTATTTAAAAACAATATTATCTGCCCATAACATCCTTCACTTGATCGAACGGCTTTACGATTGTAATTTTTGTGAACTACAGCTCACCAGTCTGTTAAGGTGATCGCGTCTATCTAACTATCTCCACTTCTGTTATTGAATATAGTAATTTATCGTAAGATTTAATTTTTCAATCTCCCCTTAGTTTCGAAATTTAATTTTAATTACTAATTAAACATATAATAACATTTAAAAAATATATAGACTTGTATTGTCATCGAAGTGGAACGTATCTGGAAAGTTTGAACGAAATCGCTGCATTAAAGGTGAGTCACAATTGAGTTACAAGATTTCCACAAACTCACAAACAGACTAAATAAAAGCTTGTAATAATTAAAGAGTTTTAAAGAATGCGATACGCTATGGAAACGATGAGCTACTATAACCGTTTACTAAATCAAATCTGGTGCGTTCTCCGGCTCCCCGGCAGAGTACGATTTGGCGCCCCGGGCTCCCTCGTCAGTACTATGGCACCTGTGTTCGTTTTAAGGAATGCCGTGTACTTTTGGATATGGTGGGCTACTATTATCGTTGCCTAAATCGAACCAGAAACGAGCGTAGGTACTCTGGCGGTCGGGTGATCAGAGCACCCCGGGCTACACTGTGAGTACTGCTCCGCTTATATTCGTTTTAAAGAGCATCCTACATTAGGGACATGGTTGGCCACTATATTCAACGAAAAAAAAAGAAACAAAGGAAGCAGCCAGCGCCCCTGTGGTATCCCGGTATTGTAACCGGGGGTCGCGAAGGAGGGTGATCAACGTATATTTAAAGCATTAGGGCGTCTGGCAGCGAGTGCGAACAAGCCAACGCCCCGAAATCTAAGATCAAATATAGCACTGGTGCCGTTAGGTTGCGTTCCACCCCTTTTCGCAGCACCCAAATGCGAGAGAGGTGTGTAGCAATCTGTCGTGTATGTATTCGTCCACGGCTTAGGAATTCAGCCGCTAGGCTGTGGACACCTTATTTGGCACTGACATCTTTAACTCATACAAAGAATCACACTCGACTGCAGGTTCGAGGTTATTTATTACTTTATTTCTTTAATGAATAATCATTGTTCAAAAAATAACATGAAAATCAACAGACCTCCAATGTCACAAGTCTTTACACTGTAGCAGTCTGTATCTTACGTTCTACTGACATTGTTCTTTCGTTCACTACAACAAGTGTAAATTCATCATCGGCATTCTTCATCTGCGTAGTCATACGATCTCTGTACACAACCATTCTCTACAATTTCCATTGGCTTTTGCGCCAGATAGTTCTCTCGTAGTTTCTGCGCACATACTAAAAAGTAGCGCGGCTTAAACACGCAAGAACTGGCACTTTCTGTTATTGTGCTGATTCAGTCAAGGCCAAACTATTCTACTTTGGTACCACTTTTTGAGTAATATTTGTTATTGGTTGGTCAATTTGTATCTACTATGTTGGTTACAAAACCACTAGGCTATGTCAAGCAATACGTCTTCTTTTTTAGTCACACCAGATACGTAACAACTACAATTACATAATAGCTCAGTTTTGTTTTGGCCTTGACCTTGTCCTTGCTGACAGCCAAATCCTTTGTTATCAATTGCATTATTTTTGTAACTTTACCCTTGTTACACAGGGACTGAGTGGTCTAGCGGTAGAGAGCTGGACTGCACAAGTCAGTGAACCGTCCCTGAGTCCACCCAACTCTGATGGGTACCTAACTCACGTTAGGGAAAGTAAAGGCGGCTGTGCATAGTGCTGACCACACTATCTCTTCATATGCCGAGGTCACAGAAACACGTGAACTTTACTTCTGTTTTTTCCACAGAAACAAGTGAACTTTACTTCACTTGCCCCATAGACCTTCAGGTTTGAAAGGGAAACTTTTACCCTTGTTACACACAAACATATATATATATATATTATATATTATATATATATATATATATATATATATATATATATATATATAGTAAAGGACCATGACATTGCCCACCCTAACCACAACCATCTAAAACCAAAACACAAAAAAAGAACCGCGAACATAACACAAACACAACCACAACACAACACAAACAAAACACAAACAAAACACAACACAAACCGGGACGGCTAGTATTATATAAAATTGTAAATCTTCTTGTAGTTTGGTGCAGGTGTCTATAAAAGAGCTTTCTGAAACCTATCTGTAAAGAAACATGACATGTGTGTTTAGTAATCAGCATATACCCGGCATTGCCCGCCCTAACCACAACCAACCAAAACCAAAAACACAAATAAAGAAAGGAAACATAGCATAAATACAAACGATAACACAAACACAAACACAAACCCAAAGAAAAAAAAACACAAACGAAAACGAAAAAGAAAGAACGAAAACGAAAGCCCGGGGCGCCAAATCGCACCATGCTGGGGCGCGACGGAATTGCCTGTTTCAGCTTAATAAAGGACTATAATACCCCAACTTATTCATAGTCTTTTGCACTCACTTAAACGAACGTATGCGCCAAACTGAACACGGGAATGCCCGGGGCCCTAAATAGCACCCAGTCTGGGCGCATGTGGACTCCCGGATTCGATTCACTTAAAGACTATAGTAACCTTTCTTATCCATACTCTATCGCGCTGTTTAAAGCGAAATTATGCACCCTAGCGCTCACATGATAGCCCAGGGCGCCAAATTTAACCGTGGTGGGGGTGGGGCGCCGGCGGACGCGCCTGTTTCAATTTAATGAACAATTATAATATTCCAAGCTTATCCGTAAACGGAAAGAAATAAACATATAGGACATGTATGACCTGGCTTATTAACTGTTATTGATTTTAAAAAATAATAATTAGTAAACAGTAAGTTCAGCCGTTAGATGGTGTGACGTCACACATTAGCATCATTAAAAAAGCAATGTTAGAAAACGAATTTTAGCCGTTTATTTCGCGTTTTAGAAAACTGTTTTATAAATTGAAATAGGAATTGATAAAAATACTCTATGTTGACAGAGTTCAGACAAGTTTTTAGAAAAATAACGTATTTTAAGAAAAATTCAACTGCAATTTTTAAGGGAGGTTGTAGGCTGAGGTGTGAAGTCATTTTAGGGGGGGGGGGGGGTCTGGCTTTTTGTGACGATGTGTGACGGAGGGGAGGGGGAGGTAAAAATCGTCAAAATAAGCGTGACGTCATTTAGGGATTACCCTAATGCGTAAAAAAAATTCAAATGTACAAGTGAATTCAAACCAAGTCTAAACTAACTTAAACACTTGAACAAACGCATGTCAACCTATCATAATCTAATCTAAAACGAAGTTAGTCCGAACATCAGCACATATAATAACTACATATCGAAAACATACATTTTATAATAAACTCACATTAATAGGCTACCTTATGGTCGTCCATATGATGTCACGCCCCAAAGGGTGTGTGGGAGGGGGTTGGGGTCCGGATAAATAGCTACACATTTTTACAATAAAATAAAAATCGAAGTTACACTTACGCTATATAGTTATTAGGAATACTATAAGGACAACTTATTCCAAAATTCCAGTGCGAACACGCCCCCTAATATGAAATATTAGCACAACTCGTTAATTAGGCCAGCAAACTAGATAATACTGTGTGCGGCGACGGAACACTTTATCTTCGTGTGATAGGAAAGCACATGGACGGCCCGAGCAAGCTAACATTTATT